TCTGGAAAATCATATCTAATCTCCCCAAAACCCCAAAACCCCATACATAAGAATAATATTTAAAAAGCTGAAATCACTAATCAAATAATAAAAGAATCGAGATATGTAATAATTAATTATGAGCATTAACTTTTAAGAGTAGTCAAATATCACTAAAACTTTTAAGCCTGAAGATCTCTAAGACATCTAAGAGTAATTTTCTTATTTTAAACAATTTGTTCCATATAGCTAGCAAGATATTCCTTAGTCATTCATAACAAGCAGTAACATTTCAGAGGAAGACAAACTATAAATTATCAAACAGATCGACCAGTTAAAATTTTCAGAGAAGAGAGACGACGCTCTTATAGAATTAAGCAGGCAGCGAGAGCATTTTACTGAATTAGCACCATATATTTGGAATACAGTAGGAACAATCGCAGCATTACTTTAGGAAATAATAGCTGTTTATCCCTTACTTTCCCCTCCAAACCTCGATACCAAAACTTCAAACAAAGCTTGCAACGTGTTGGCTCTTCTATAATCAGTAGCATCACACAAGGAGACTAAGTCTCTTTTCCTTAAAGCACATATTCCTTTGTTTTTGTACCCTTTTCTAAATACTGTAAGCAAGGGGAGACCCTTTGAATACCTGAGATTAACCTCTCTTGGAGTGATTGGGGCTTTGGTAAAAGTGGATGATCCTGAAGTTATTAACTTTTTACTACAAACTGAAATAATCCCACTTTGTCTTAGAATTATGGAGAGAGGAACTGAGTTATCACAGACTGTAGCTACATTTATTATCTAGAAAATACTTTTTGATGATTAAGGTCTGAACTATCTCTGTCAAACTGCAGAGAGGTTTTTTGCTGTGAGTACAGTTTTGAATAATATGGTTATAAGCTAGCACGATAAGCCATCTTAAAGACTATTCAAACATATTCTAAGATGCTACAGCAGACTTGGTGAGAATATCAAAGCTAGAAAAGCACTAAGAGAAAATATACCATAGATTATCAAGGATTCTAACATCCTAACTTAGCTTGATGAATCCACAAGAAAAGGAATAAAATCCTTATCAGATAGTTTGTTTAGCACTTAGCTTGAAGAGTCTCTAGCTGGCCAAGACCCTTACTAAACTTATTAAAGCTAGACATTTTAGTTTGCTCAGTAGTAAAAGTAAGGTACAAGTTAAATAGACTTTACTTAGGCCTTTAATATCTAGGGATTGGCTCAAAATTCTTAAAATGTGAAGGTACAAATCATAAACAGACCAATGAGTTCCCATGATTAGATAGTCTAAAATTAACAACAACAGCAGCAGTAACAAGTTCCTATGACCTATCCATAGACTCCTCCAATTCAAATGTAGCAGCAAATGCAATAATAACAAAAACTTGTTCAGCCAATACCTGTTCAGCAGCATAACCCAATGCATATGGTCAATTAGCAATATGCTATGAATCAAATGCAGTACAGAAGAGTTGTGAATTAAACTACTCCTACTTAATAGCCCATGTTTATGAATTATCAACCATCTCCTATAATGTAGAACCAATTCCAAAGTATGAACAACGTGAACCAAGGAAGCCAGTTCCAGAAATAAGGAGATAAAAATCAATAATAATAGCAATAGAACTAGCCTTAATCTCAAAAGACAACTAATTTTAAAGCACTAGGAAATCTCAGATAATGAGATTGCAAATATTGTTTGAATAATTAAAATAACAGAATTTATGATTATGAGTATGAGACTAACGACAGATTCCTTAATTTAATAAAAATCTAATCCTTTTATGCCAAAATTACTCATTTAGGGGTTTTGGGGTTTTGGGGTTTTGGGG